CTAAGGAACATATGACATTATTTACACATCTTCTCTCCACACTGCTAATTTAGATCTTTGAACATATTCTCATTACTATTAACTATTTTTAGGAGTTTTTTCATAGTTAATCAGTTTATTGGAATCCAGTTTACACATATGACCATAGATTTAGATACATCTCACGTCCTTTGTTTTTTTTTTACCTTTTCTGAAGGATGAAATACCAGTGGAACTTTGAGTACATTGGCTTCTTGAAATTGTATCTGGCAGACAGCAGGATCCTTATCAATGTATTTTGTTGTTAAATGATAGATATGTTTAAATTTTATCTAGAGTATAACCTCTTCAAATAAATGTACTTGTCTATTAAACTTCAATAAAATGGTTTGTCCTGTTTATTAAAAAAAAAAAAGACTAGATAGTGCAGCTCAAAATCCATTTTGATCCAGATCAAATTTCTTATATTGCATACAAACATTTGCAACTCAAAGCAAAAATAGAACTATATGCAATTTTCAATCTAATAATCCATCATGGGATTATATCCAAAAAATAGATTAGAGATTATATTTATTCCATATTCAAATTTAAAGATTAGGCAATAATCTTAATATAACTATGCCTATAATACTTCTAAATATAAAAAGAAAATTTTCATCAAAATTATTACTGACCACTTAATTAAATATCTAGTCAAGTATAAAATATTGTCTGAATTTAACTAGATTATACTTCCACAATAGCATACAAAATTCTATATATATTTTAAGTAATATTATGAAACATGCAAAAAAGAACAAATAATAAGTATAGATTCTAAGCCAAAATATATCCAAAGCATACAACTCTATCAATATCAAGATGCTATAATTAACTCTCAAAAAATTCAAATACTAATACAGATTACTTAAATATTTAGCAATATACAGCAAAAAGATTTAATTAGATTATAATCTATTTTGGTTTAATAGAAGTATATCTAGTAAAAGATAGAATTAATCAAAATAATACAATATTACTAGTCCTTTAAAGAATTTTTTATGATTCTCTCCTTTCTATAGTTAGATAATATCACAAAAAATATATAATTAGCTCTTCAATATATATAGACTTCAAAAAGAGTCAAACAAATAAAACAATCAATATTACTATTAGTATCTATATAGATAAATTTACCAAGTTGACAAATAATAAAGTGATCTTCAAAGAATAATAGATATAATAGAAGAATTCTATTATATAAATAATATTCAAGTCAATTTAGCAAAGTCACAACTAATTACTATTAATACAATAGAAAGAAAATATTAGTTAGGAGTAATAATATATAATAAAAATATAAGAATTCCCAGAAAATATATTAGTCAGAATCCTCAATATCTAGTATAATAGCTCAGATCAAAAAGATTATCAAAAAGCTCTAATAAGATAAAATATAGCAAATAAACAAACAGTTTTAGATATGAAAGAGATTATTCATAAATAAGTACAATATATAATTAATTATATTCTAATGTCTAGCTTTAAATATCTTTGTAATAATATTATCCTAATTAGACAAACTTGCAATTAACTGATAAATAAACTTATATCTGTTTTCAAACATAAAGTTAGACTTGTTAGGACAACACTTAATAGTATACTATAAAATTAATATTAATATAATATAATATACCTCTGAGACAGACAAATTCAAGTATATATCAATAACTGATATATCAGAATTAATAAAAAAAAATATTATATAGAATATCACTCATTATTATTTTTAATTAATATAGAAATGTTCTGATCTATTAAAGAAATATATAAAAATATTTAGATTTCTATGCTTAGACCAGGAAAAATCTAATATATTATACTATTTGGATACTCAAAACATATAGATTTATTTTCTATAAAATATATCATAATAATTTTTATACTATAGAAAAAATAAATACTACTATTAAATAAATAATAGATTCAAAGCTATACATAAAAATTTATTTAAGACTAAGAAAACACAATATACTTTTTGCTGAACAACTTTTCAATAATAATCGGAAAAAGGTTTTACAATAGTATTAAATTATTAGAATTTATTGTAAGATAATATCAGTCCAATCTCTATATGGTTCTTTATACCATAATACAATCTCATAACATAAATCATAAAAAGAAACAATAGTAAATAAATTAGTCTCTATAATATAAATTTTCTATTGAAATATATACAACAAGACCTTATTAAATTGCCACAAAATAAATAACTATATAGTGATGGGAAGGAAATAGAAAAAAATAGACAATAATTAAATATCATATAGATATTATATACAAGTAATCAATCTCTTATTACTCTTTAAATATAAGGATTGTAATATTAATTAAAATAATAGACCTGATTCTAAGTATACTTTTACAATTATCAAAGAAAATACAACAATAATTTATATTAATGCAACAAAATTTTAATAAGATCCAATTTTCTAGAAGCTAATATAATCTTTAGAAACAAAATTACATCCAACTCAATATTAATAGTATTAAATAAATAATAATATATTATATCTTCTATTATATATAGAAAACAGAAGTCTGGAATATAGAAATATATTATACAATAAAAGTACAAAAAAAGATATTAAATACGAAACATTATATCATTAATAAGTTGATAAATATAGTACACCAAATTCAAAATCTGCAGTAGTGATCTGCAGGCAATGAAATTAGTAGTTGGAAGGGTTTTCACCTGAGCTACTAATAGAGCGATAAATCACTCCTGAAGTTACACTTAGAGTAGTAATAGCCAAGATGAGTGAGTTAATTAGAGATTTAGCTTTAGTGATTCATTTTACATGTATAATATACTAATGTTTAATAAAGCACATATAATTAGCCTGATAGAAGGTAAAAAAAAAAAAAAAAGTACATCAAATTCAAAATAATATCAACTTTGAGATATATATAGATAGCTCCATGTTATAACATAGTAATCAATACTATATAGATTTTAGCTGGATTATAATTATCAGAAAAAATAAGAACTGCAATTTTATTGACAAATAAAAAATTTTTTCTCCTTAATCAGAGCCGAACTAGTTTCTATTATTATAGAAATAAGTATATTAAACTTATTTAGCAGGGCAAATATATATATAGACAGTCAGGTTGTTATTAAAAGTATATATAAAACAATAAAAACAAACCATATACATAATTTTGAAAAATAAAAAAATCTAAGAATTTTATAAAATATTTATAATATAATGAGACAAAATCATCTCAAATTATAATCTAAAAAAGTCAAAATATTTACTGGAAATAAATACAATAAACAAATAGATCAACTAATTACTATCAATACCAACAATAATATGATTCCTAGGCATAGAAAAATATATACCTTCTCTATACAAAATTAGTAATATATATTAATTTTTTAATGAGACTACACGAAAACTGAGTTCCTTATCAAAAGTATAGCTAAAGAGTTGACCAAAGCAACATATCTAGCAAAATGTAGACTCCTAAATAGAATTTAATAATAGAATAATTAGCTATATTTATTGGTCTGCAATAACAAAAACCTCTAATCAATCCAAATGAGTAATTATACAATTGATTGAAAAAACTAACAATAGAGAAAGTTCAATCTTAATCTTTGGAATAAAGAATTGCCTATCAAAATCAAACTTTTCAACCACCTTCCTACTCTATATAAAGATAATAAATATATTAAATATGGTAATAGAAACAACTACTCATTCTTTTCTTTATGGAGACCAATAGAAAAAAATTGAAGAGCAGATTCAAGATATCATTGCTCAAAAAATATAACAATACAGCAAAACAAAAGACACGAAAAGGTATTTACAAGGATATAGGAAATTATACTTCCTGGAATATCTAAAATGTTTTATTAAAGGAACCATTCTAAAAGAAATAGTTAACATAGCAACAAAATGTATACTAGACCCCTCCTCCAAGAAGCAATGTATAAAGGAAAGCAGATAAGACATCAGCAAATACTTCCAAAGCATTTGGAAAACAAGATGCAAAGACTTTTACAAGTGGAAAGTAACTTAGGGCATCACAATAAAGATCAAGAGAGCCACTAGATACAGCACCCAACAAAAAGTGACTGGCTTAATGAAACAGAAAGACATATAAAAGATCAATTCATTGATCTGGTTAACAATTACATAGGTAAATACATTAAAAAAATCACATACCCATCTGATATCTTCAAAATTTTGCATAGTGCTAGCCCAGCCTTGGCCAGTTAGCTCCCAACAGGGGTGGTGACAAGCCGCGAGGTGAAATATCCTTTTCTATCAAACTTTACTTTGTTAACATAGGTAGCACTAGCATAAATATATGTACACTTTACTTAATCCAAATAAAGTAAGGCTGAGCTCAATAAATAAATAAATATATATATATAGTATGACTATTTGTACACAGCTTCTTTTATCGAGAGTTAATGGTATTAGGCTTTGTTTTTTAATCATGTATGGGCACATTAGGTGTATTGGGAAAAACAAAAACTACATGGACAACGTCTGAAATTCACATTTCCATTGATATGACCATTTTAAAACAGATATATTTTATCAAGAGTTGGGTATTTACATGGAATAATGTCACACTCAAATTGAACGTTGTTTTTTTGTATTCTGCCGGTAACCCTTGCTCCAGATTGAGATGACTCCATCGCTAACGTTTTATTAAATAAATTGTTTAATAGATCAGGGATAAGACTGACAATTTATATCTGATCGAGGCGTCGTATAAATTTATTATCACCTGTGTATGATGAAGAAATTTAGATAAAAAATATATGATCAAATTTCAAAAAATGGCATTAAAGATCTTGTTCTGATAAATTGTATCTTTTACTTGCTATGTAAGTTACCTAACCTTGGTCTTTATTTTTTGACATTTTTTTTTCAATAATAATTGAAGTAAAAATACAAGTCTTGTTAAAAGTTTAGATAAAATACTTGATAATTTAAGATTTATTGTATATTTCATGCTACTGAACCAGATTTCTCTTTCAGGCCTAAGCCATTAAAAAGACGTTCTAAGTTTTCCTCTTCAGAATCATTAAAAACTACGCGTGTAAAATAACGGCTGAAACAGCAACAACGAACTTTGATTTGATCATCAAAAGATTTTACCGTATCAGAATTTGCATCTTTTTTTGTGTAATTAAATATCCATAAAATATAGTAAAGAGGATGCATGATAAATTCAAGAATGGAAATAATGATAAAACTGAAAGGATTTTGAAGCCATTCTGGATAAAATATTTGAATAAAGTACAGCATAACAGATGTAAAAATAAGGAATCCAATCAGGAAATCGATAGATTCAATCACACTTCGACCGTCTGGATATGAAGTGGAGTAGACATTGTAAAGAAAAATAGCTATCATTATCAAAATATAAGAAATTGAAAGAATTAAATATCTCTTTCTTGTTGTTTTCAATTCTTCATTCCTTCTCTTTATAGTATTTTCCACTCTGCTTAACTCCTCATATTTAACTAATCTCAAAGAAACATCAACGATTTCGTCATTATTCGGAAATGGAAAGGATTCGGTATATTCACATTCCGAAAAAAAGAATTTTATATTCGAATACACAGATGTCAGGATAGCCGATATGGAAATGGCACTTTTTACGTATTTTAAATAATTCTCAATTAATTTCGGATGGTAATTGTGAATAAAAAGTAAAAAAACCCAGGTAATTATCATAGTTATCGAAACAATAAAATTAAGAAATAGAAACTTTTGAGTTTCTTTCACAAGAATCTTGTTATTTTTTACGGTAACCCTCAAACTCCTCAACCCATACGCCCTTTCACTTTTTTGAAGGACTTCGTCATTTTCTTTTTCATTTCCGAGTTGCCCGTTCGATTCCTCATAAATTTCATTTTCGGTAGACGCCATAGGATCAAGGATTCAACTAGAAATAGAAGGACTTGTTTGAGGTTGAGTTCTGATTTAAATATTTGAAACTGCAAGCACCTCTGGTTGAAATATTTGCCGTACAACTGCATATGACTTAGTGCAACGAAGTACGTACGAACGAATTCAACGTTTTGTTACATACTTACTAAAAGAAACTCTAATTATAGAAATAATAAGCTATAATTTGCGAATCCATCCACCTCCATCTTACAATTCGTGGAATCCACCAACAACCAACCAGCCAATCTTACGGTTCGCGTAACCTGTCCACCCACATGTATTTATTAAAAATATTCAGAGTTAAGCATTTACCACAGTAATTAATTTAGTGATTATAGTAAATAATATGAACAATTATCATAATGATCAATGGTTCTTTTAACTAAAATAGCAATACGCATCAATATAGCTTAACTTAGAAAATTGTGCAACAAGAGAGTTGACTGTAATGCGTTATATACTCCTTAATAAGTACAATAATTAATGCTTACGTAATATTTGTTTGCATGCAATCCCTCTACTATAGAAAGTTAATTCCTTTTTTAGAGTCACGACTATCCTCCTGTTCTTTTATAAGCTTAACGTTTTGCATTATTTCCTTTAGAAATTTTTGCATGCACACTCTCCATTTTAGAAAGGATTTTCCTTTTTTAGAGTCATCGCCTGTTCTTTTATAAGCTTATCGTTTCGAATTATTTCCTTTAAAAATTTTTGCATGCACACTCTCCATTTTAGAAAGGGTTTTCCTTTTTTAGAGTCACCGCCTGTTCTTTTATAAGCTTATCGTTTCGCATTACGTATTTCCTTTAAAATTTGTTTGCTTTTTTAGAGTCAAGGCCCTCCGCCTATTCTTTTGTACGCTTACAATTTGCACTATTTTCTTTAAAATTACGTAGTGCACTACAATGAAGTCATGTCGCAAAAGCCACTATATAATTTAGGAGATGTGCCGTTTGTCCTTTAATAATATCCAATTATGATTAAAGTTATAAGATTCGGGTAATTTATTGTCTTTGTCAGGAAAGTATACAGGCAACAAAACGAATACAAAGAAAAATTCTCTATCTCACATTTGGAATTTCTTTATTGTAAAACGATGCAAAATATTATATTGTCGATAGCCATTATCATGGTCTAGATTCCGATATCTAAAATTATAAGATAAATTTCATATCAAACCCTATTCCTTCTGCTAAATACAGCCCAGAACAACAAAGAAACAACATATTTACTATTTATTGATTAATGTCACTTTTTCTCACGAGTTTAATATTCATAATTATCACACCCTTTAAATTATTTCATCATATTGTTGTGGGTTAAACCGGCGAGTCCGTCGCTAATCCGTAGCGCCTCGCGTAACCCAAACAACCAACAATAACTCACAACTATACTAAAAGAAGAGAACACCTCCTGAAAAGAACACTTAAAGAAGGCAGAGATGTGTTAATTGACTTGGCCAAGGGTAAGTGTCTCTTTTATTCGCGTTCTGTTTCTTTTGTATAATACTAACTATTATCTCTATTCAACGAGGGCTGTCTTTTCCACATTCAGCAATGCCTTCTCGGCTTACATTGGTAGGCTATTTATGTTTTTCTAGTTAACAATATGCTAACTCTAAGCTTTACTAAACTCTCCATATTCTGTCATACACACACAGTTCCCTTATCAGTACCCGGGCCTTAATTCATAGTTTCTTACCTCATGACACCCAATCTTTCATGCCAGACTTTCATTTTTTTTAGGTTCTAGACCGTTACGCGTAAATCGCGTCACCCACGTGACCTCAGACAATATACAAGTTCTCATTGTAATAAATCATATATAATCATGATACTTCACATTTTGCTGTAGAATACACGCTCCTGGTTATATCTCGCAATGAGATACTCAATCTCTGTTGTAGAAGAAAATTTTCTTTCGACAAATGTAATTTCTTTAATACTAAAAGTATATTTGATGCGGATTGGTCTCTTGATGTTTACGGGTTTCTAACTCGCCAGGAATTCGAAGATAGACTTAATGAAATTCATTTTGCGTGTGTAATGTTCCACTATTGAGCAAGAACATAACATCCTTTAGTGACTGTTGCTACGGATTGACAACTGGATTATAAGGTATGGCGAGCGTTCAAATTGGGTCCTTTTCTGGCCTCATAGTTAGTTCAATATTCGAATTACTCTTTTCTGCCTAGGATCGAAAAGTCGCGCCAGAGAATTCTCTAAAGTCTTAAATCAATTTTTCGATTGATATACGTATGTAACGCTCGAGATAACCTTACTGCGAACTGGAAGCTCACGTGGCGCCCTGTTATTAATTATGTCGACATTATTAAGAAGGCAGGTGCGGGTGGGTCCATCTGTGGAAAAGCAGTTCTGAAATTGCGTAATGATGCGCTTTCAGATCAACCGTCTATTTATTCACGAACAACGACAACAACAGTAATCGAGTTAAAGAAGAAAAATCCTCAACTTAATGACCAACTGCTAATAATAATTACAGTACCATAAACATCTTATTTATACTGTGTAATGTATTGTTATTTTTGAAATATTGATACTTTACGCCTACATTTATTTTTTATGCTAATATAAACTATAAATTACATCTTTCAAAATTTATAAAACTTTTGTATTTTTTATAAAGGAATATAATAAACAAAATAAAATAAGTTTTTTTTCTTTTTTTTTTTTTCAGAACAAATTCCATGGAGAGTGATGATAATTGGAAAAATAAGTTTCCCTTATACATTTAATTTGGTCGGTGGAAAAATGCGTTCTGCAATTAATTAATCAGATTGGAGTATACATCTACGTACAGTATACCGTATGTGTTGTAAAGAAATCAGAATTGCCAAGTACTCCCAATCGAACTCAAAAAGAACTGTGGAGCCTATCCAGTTCACATTGTCGGAGCTGTTTAAGATAACACAGAATGATTTAATAAAATTTTAAGAAGCTCCAAATCAATCCCACGTACATATCAATTTATTCCTTCTGAAAGATAGATTTGATACACTTATATACGGTCAACTCTTGATAAAAGAAACTGTATACAAATAGTCTATTCAGTTAATATCCGAAGTATTAATTGAAAATAGTAAAAGAAAATTTGAGTTTTCGAAAAATCCAAAACTTTGTTTAGACGTAAAAAATTGTTACTTGTTTCGTAAACCTTTTATTTTACTAATTATACTATATCTCTTTTGCAAATTAAGTAAACATACGTAATCTGCAAAATGAACTATGATAATTTTGAAAGTTTCATAATTAACTTTTTATTAATTCCATCTAAAGCTCTATATCTATAGAAAAAATTTCTTAATTTTTGACATTATAATTGTCATTTTATTCTTAAATTCTGTGTTTTAATAAACTATATACTATTAATTAATATTGTTTAACATATTTTGAGTTATATGGTATTGATTTTACAAATTTTTATTTAATATGTAAAAACCTGATAAAATAATAGTGTTACGTACTAATAAACAGCCAAATTTTAAAATTATTATAATTAACTAGCAGATAGGCACGTCCTCACGTGATGATTAATCAAATATGTAAATATGACATAACGTTACATCATTCTTGTTTATCTAATTTAAGCGATCTGATTGGTCAACTCCAGATAATGTCTTGTTTATCTAATTTAAGTGATCTACTTCGAGATAATACGCACATATTTTTTGTTTAAAGAACCAAGGCTTCCCTAAATACAAAATTCCACATGTAAATTTCTTCCCTGCCCTAAATCATGCTATTCTTAATGAAAACATTAATTTTATGTCTTTTGTTTACTCGAGACATAGTCACATATAATTACCTGTGAGAGAAAACAGGTTGCGGAAAATATAAGCCAACATAAGGTAACATTTGACCTTGAGATTTGTTAATGATCAAAGCGAATGCCAACAGTACAGGAAATTGTTTTCTTTTTAGTATAAAAGATAATCCAGCATCTTCAGATGGCAAAAGAGGAATTCTAGGGATGAATACACGTTTACTGATATGTTCCCCTATTGTTATTTCAGCATCAATTATTCATGTTTGAAATTGTTGGCAGATAAGTCTCATCCCGTTGCAGAATCCATTAACCAGATCTATATTTCTAAGTAACATTAAAAGGGTGCCAACTTTTAGTATAAGTGTATATAAAGGAAGACCTTGAGGTGTTAGAGAATTAAGATATTCAATCGGATACAGGTTTAGATTGTCATCTATTACTGAATAAAAACTGTAATATACGTGTTGTTTCTCAGGATACTTGATTATAATCTACTTATTAATTTCATCTACATCACTGTTTAATGGGATCAGTATTGCTCTTTCCATTATAAAGGTATTTTCAGTGAGATTGGAGTATACTGTATTTATTAGTGAATCAATGGGATCGTCATCATTCTGTGAATGTACAATTATCTCATCAGGAAGTTGAATTAAGCCACCTTATATTGTAGGTTCAATACCATCACCTATCCTAAGAAGGTATTCCACGAATGTTCTTATCTCATTATTAGTAACTTGGATTGTTTTAGTAACTCGCATATTGATGGTTAAAGGAAAAATGTGGACATGGCTCCATATATAGAATTTGTTGAGAGCAGTATTGATAATTTGAGCTCTGATGCCTTTGCAAATTACAGATAGAACCTGTCAAAAATCACCACGAATATAAATATTTTACTACCAAATGGAAGATTATTCTCCATAATATTCTTCAATGCCCTATCAATAACCTCAAAAACATATCGATATATTATTGGAGCTTTATCTCGGATGATCAAAATAGTTTCTTGAAGTAATCTGGCCAAGTTAGTCCTCTTTCCAATGTTACATATTATGCTTTCATCTATTATAGTAATAGGTATTTTGAACTGAGAATGTGTAGTGAATCTACTGTACAATAACAATGCAACAATGCCAGAAGAGGCTATCACTAATACAATCTGATGATTGGCTCATACATAAGTAAGGAGACAATTATAAAGATGTCTTTCCACTTCTAGCAGGACCATTCACAAACAGTATACTCCCTTTACTTTAGTTTATAAGACCCAGTATCTTATCAAATACCACATGCTCAGCTTCATTTAATGTATTTGCTTTAATGAGATCTTCTGGAGTAATATGATAGGATGATTCTTTGAGAAGTATTTTCAGCAATTCTTCAACATTGATTTCTGAAAATAATTTTGGTAAATCATAATCTGACATGGTCTTTATATATTTTTGCAAAAAGATATTCAAGCTTTGAAGGATCACTTTAATTTGAAGTTGACCCTCTGAAATTTCTCTATATGCGAAGTTCTACATTATTATATTGAAATTCTCATTCCACAACTGACATATATCTGCAATATCTCTAAAGACTAATAACATTGTGAATAGATTGCATAATTGGTTAGACATCTGAAATTTCCTAACTTTAACCATGTACTGTTGATGTTTATTGTCATTCTCTAGAAAATCTCTATGTTGAGCACTTTTTTTGAAAGTGATATATAAAATGTTATCTACTATCTTTATTTTCTCAAAATTCTTGACTCCTTTTACCTTTGTTAACAATAAACAAATATAGTATTGTTTCTAAGTGATATATGGTTTGCTATATTTGCTTTATATTTATCAATAATAAATTAAAATTATATATATTTGTCTTCACCTGGATAAGTTAGGAATATTCTCTCAATACAATTTATATATCAAAGTTTTTTTAATCTCTTGATCATTTTATTCCAAGTATATTGTTGAAGAAATCAACATAAAGTAGATTACTTGTATCTGGATCTTAAGCATTTATACAAAGTACTCTGTAAGAAATGTTCATTTATTTCAGTCAATAATCACCTCAGCTATATTGTCATTTTTATTGAAGACAATTCTTTGTTGGTTAGAAAGATGTATCAGTAAGTGTGTGATGGCAAGATTTATTCTGTTCATATGATATTCAAGAATTTATCAAATAGTTTCTGGAGCTAAGACTCAACAGGCCTTAACAAAGTTTCAAATTTCATTAATTATAACTAGTGTTTTATGATACTAAGGTTCATCAGTGACTTTGATCATTGCTCTATTATGGTCCTTATAAACATACTTGAATAAATATTTGATTGCTTTTATACTAGTACAGATCTCTATATTAATATGACAATTATATCTTGTACAAAGGAAATTGTTATATTGAATAGCCTATCAATTGTCTAATAGAACTGTTCAACCTCCTATTTCTAGCTTGACATGACAACCATCTTATCAGTAATAGTATACAAGATAACTGTTCTTTTCTTGAAAGGTTTTATTCTAAATTATTTAGAGTATTCCTTGGTACATCACTTTTAGCATATACCATTATCAATTATACATGGTACATTGGAATTGGGCTCTTTACATGATCTGTATAACATGTTTGCAATAACCATATATATGTTTTGGAATTTAGTTCTGGATTGGGTATCTCAACATAGACGATGATATCATAATCATTAGAAGTTTATAGTTTATTCTCTGGATAGAGTATAACTAAGATATATACATGTGGAAGACTTCACTTCTGAAATTCAATGATGTGAATGTGTGCAATAACACATTCAAGAATACTATGCTCAAAAAGATTCTTTTTTAATTCTTGAAGCTTTTTCCAAAATATTCGTATTATTAAAATAAAAAGAAATCAATATAATGAATAGGCTAAAAAGAAATAGTACATAAAAAAAAGTATTTGTAATATCTAATCAGTCCTGAATTTTTTGTTTGGGCAGCATCAAGGCTTGAATTTCTAATCAGTTTGAATTGCACGTCATGGTAATGAATAAATTAGGCCTGCCAATGTGCAGTAAAACTATTGTATCTTGATACTATTATATTATATCACAAGAACTCCAATAAATGTGGAAGGAAGTATTACTCTATGACTGATATATTTTGAATTGTTATTTTCATACAAGACAATATCCTGAAGGTCTTAAATTAATTTATTTCAGATTTTATCTTGGTTCTACTAATGAAAATTCAAGAAATTTGATTCTATTTTGATATATATATTGACTACATATTGTTGGAAGAGCCGTTCTACTTATAAAAGCAAATTAGTGAAATGAGACCTAATTTGAAGCCGATATATATAATATTCTATTGTATTTATAAATTTACTATGCTGTTTTGTGCTACTATTATTATTATAATATCCTACATCATCTTTCTCTTTATTATTATCTTCATTATTAGAAACTTTATAAATATTAGTTGTTTCAGGAGCAAGGGGAATACTTCTATATAGAATTTGATAGAGAACTTATTCCTGCTCACCATAAGAAAACAAAAGTGAATAACTAAGGTATCATAATATTTATTGAGCTCAGAGATATGAATTAGTTGATTCATCCATGTATGCAATACAATATTATACTTCTGAATTACATCAGGAGACACATTACTATCAATCCAGATTGCTGCTACTTGTGAAGCTGTTAGGGCATTATGGGTCCTTTGATCAAGTCTGAGGATATCTGTGTGAATAAGTATAATTAGATTTATAATATCTTTTACATATAAGTTGAAAATGTATCAAAAATTAATAATGTATAGATTCACTTTGTCAAACATTTTCTTCAAAGCTTGGATAATAGCAGGATTAAGGTTGGAATTAAGAATGATATTTGTTCAATAGTGTAGCTCATTCTGGATATCCCATATATATATTTGTAGATAATGAGATTAGGAACCAGACTTTAATAATAACGAACCAATCCAGTGATAAAATAAGCCTTAAACACAAAAGGTATAAATATCAGATTTCAGATTAACAAACTCATAATTGAACCTGATATCAATAAAAGCAAAGGTGAATGCTAAATTATAAAGACAGATTTTGTTATGAAAATTCTTTGAGGTATTGTCTTGACTAGAAAATAGATTCTACAGAAGTAAGGGAACTTCGGGTTCTATAAATACTACCTTTCCATTAGAGCAGCATATTTCAGAACTTTTTATAGACAGCTTGAGCACATTGCAGTGACTATATATAATGCATTTGATAATAACGATTTGATATAGAATAGTCATATCATCAAAAAAGCAACAGGCTAAATTGTGTATCTGAAAATTGCTTGTATTATATTGGTAATAAACTGCAGTATCATGATTGTTCTAATATTCTGCATAACATTGACAATAAGTATCAATATATTTTTTGTATTGTTGTTGATACTGTTCAATAGTTCATCTAGTTCTTTTTCTATATTATCAAGTAGTATTGGCTTTTTTTTGTTTTTGTTTTGTAAAACAATGTGTTATAAGTGGTATATCATGAAATTATAAAAACAAAAAGTTTATGAAGACTATGTAAGTATATATAAGATACAATAGTTTATATATAACATTTTCTTAGGTGGCATCTACGTATTATGATAGTATTGAAAATTTATATGTGATATGATATAAATTTAAGAAAATAAAAAGTTTATAAAGACTATAAAAGTATATTAATATGTAGATTCAGGTAGCACTGAAACAGACAGTATTTTGAATAGGTAAAGTATAGAGTATAAAGTTTTTTATTAATAGTTTAAATGATATTGAAGCTTCAGTCTCTTTGTTCTTATTTTGTAGGATAATACATTATATGTGGCATGTCTCGAAGTTATGGAAATAAAAAGTTTATAAAGGCTATGTGAGTATACATAAAATGCAATAGTTTATTTACAATATTCTCTTAAGTGGCACTGACACATTGTGGTAGCATTAAAAATCTATATATAATATAATATAAAGTTAAAAAAACAAAAAGTTTATAAAGGTTATGAGAGTATATTAATATATAGATTTAGGTAACATTAAATTAGATAACACTTTAAACAAATAAAGTATATAGTGTAAAGTATTTTATTAATAGTTTAAATAATATTAAAGCTTCAACCTCTTTATTATTATTTTGTAGAATAATATGTTATATATGTTATGCAGTATGTGATATGTCATGAAGTTAAGGAAATAAAAAGTTTATAAAGACTATGTAAGTAGACACAATAGATTATATAAAACATTTGAAGTGGTGACGATGCATTGTGAATAATATAAAAAAACTTATAGAATAACACAAAAATGAAAGGCTGTGAATATATTAATTGTAGACTCTTGATAATACTAAATTAGATATATATATAGAACATAAAGCATTTTATTAATCTTGAAGCTTCAATATTTATATCTTCTTTAATATTATAATATAATTCTAATTAAAATTTATGCAATAATTAATATAAAATTAAACAAATATTAACATGATTCTTTTATACCTTTATTATTATTAAAGTTAGTGCATATTAAATTATATATAATATAAGTTGTATTCACTAATGGTTCAGATGATATTAACATGAAAATAGATATTAAAATTATAAAAGTATAGATGATTATTAGGTTATAAGGCATGTAATACAATCATTGACCAATGGGCAGACAGTTAAAATCTTATATATATAGATTTGTAACAATAATTTCTTAAAATTTTTTTTATTTTATTACACAAATTGATTTAAAATTTAGTAAACAGTATTGTTTATAGAGTTAGATCGGTCTTAAAAAGACTAATTTTGAACCAATCTTCTAAGTGGTTCATGTAATCTTTAGTTACTAGTTTTGAATAGATTTATAATATATAAATAACGTATTAATATTTACTGTATATATTATATTGAAAAAAGAAAAAAAAAACTTTTTTCTGAAAAATTCCAAACCGTTAAAATTTTCCTTATAAGGCAATTATACAAAAACCAACTCATCACTACTACCAAGTAGTCACAGTGAGGAAAATATGGCCTCCTCATAAGAAACCAGAAGTACCAAGCAACTAATAACACTGGATTACAATGAAAACAGAATGACAAGAAACAATGGAAGAATTATGAAACCTAAGGCAACAACCCCACGGCTCAGCTTAGACACACCCTACTTGATACAAGAACAGCGATCCAGAAGAAGACACCAGAAAGAGTGGTAAAGAAAGGAAAAGAAAAGGCGGAGTTCTTTGCATCAGATTGCATAATGGAAATAGAGATGAAAACTCAAATAACATAATCCACAAGGGCTAGGAAGCAAACAAGACCATCGATCTCCATCACCATTATCCCTATTAGCAATCCTGACTCTCCCATACAACCGGCCCAGAATTTATCCTTAAATATTACCGAACAAGCAACTTTCAGTTATGAAGAAAAGTTTCAAGAGAACACATAAGAACCACTCAAAGACACAGAATATTCAAAGACCAAGAGACCAGAAAAAGCCCTCATTGATCCAGACCTAGTTCCAGTGCAATCACAAGATGAGAAAATAAAATTTATTAAACAAAAAATGTGGGAGCTACACTCCCTGAAACATGTGTGATACGAATATCCA